GTAATTAATCAACTGAAATGAATCTTTACAGAATAAACAAATCTGTTATACATGAAGGATGATTATGTTCTTTTGGCTGTGAAGATTTTTCATAACTTATTCATGCCAATGGTGTGCCTGAGTTATGAAGTATTTTTCCCTTATGAAATAAATATAGCATCTTTCATTTGTCCTGTATCCCCTCTATTTTCTGGGATTTACCAATGTAAATCAGCACAAATCTACCACCTATGTTAATTTACACCAACGGAAGAACTAACCCCCTACTCATCATCAGCAGCAATGTTTCTTGAGTTATTTCAGAGGCATTCCTAAAACATAGCCCTGGTAAAGCATTTTCAGCAGCAATGCCTGTGTAAATGCCATTATCAGCCATAAGACAGAATCATAGTTGTCTCCTTCCAACTTCGCGAATTCTACTCTCCTGGTAGATGTGATACAACACACTGGGGGATAGTGTTGCATTTTGAGATGGGAAAGCCATGAAAATATGCTACCATTTGTATGGATTTTTTAATGAATTATTCATACTTCTGCATTCTGCTTTTACATTCACTTTTCCTTGAACTATTTAAATGACCAGTTTAGTTTTTCACTGGAAGAAATACTGATAGACAATGAATTTTAGACATGCACATAGAAGTACTTGAAAATCTTGTTCTAAGAATCAGGGAATAAGATCGTGTTTGGCTGACCTTCTCAGCAATCACAGATAAACAACAGACTTTAAAATACAAATATGTGTGACTTCAAAAAAAAATCAGCAAAAAAAGAGAAAATACTGACAATCATCAGACAGTGTTATAAAATAACCAGAAAAACAGCAAATATATTTGAGGAAATCGTGATCTGCAGTGAATATCCTTCAAACAGAGAAAGAAGAATTGTGAATGATTCATTCAGACTGAGTCATACTTTATTTTATTAGAGAAATTCTCAGGGTTAGGCCTACTGTGCGAGCACAAATTCTTGGCTAAGAGTCACTAAAACTGATGTGCTAATTCACATCAGCCAGACATCCTTTATTAAAAACAAAACAAAAAACCCACAGAAAGAACAAAAAACCCACACCAAATCCTTGACCTAAGAAAGGGGATACTGCTTCCTGCCTTTCCTCCTTTCCTGAAGGACAGGAGTCAATAAAGAGTTTTAAGAAATGAGATCTGCTCAGGAAAACCTTGTACTCATGCCTTTTTAACATTCAGCTCTTTCCTACTAGGAATGAGGCCACTTGTTTATTTCTACTATAAGCTATACTTTTAGGAAAACATACTTGGTGCAAGTTTTGTGGAAAGTTAGCAAAATATCCACGGTGCTGAACATACAATATAACCCAAAAGAAGCTACCTGGAAGATAGTTTTGATATTGTGAGACAGAGAGAAGATGTACTGAAGAAAACAGCTCAATAATTTGGATAGTGTCACAGGTCTTGAGGGCCTTGGGTCAGTCTTTGCTTTATCTCAGTCTTTCACTAAGGTAAGTAGTGTGTCCAGATCTTTCCAGATCTGAATTTTCCTGACCCGGTCCTCTCCAGACCTCCCCCAATGCACTTGGATCTTTCTAGATCCAAGAAGATATTTTCTTGTCTTTAAGGTACACACTGCAATGCCTAAATTTTAGGCATCTGTCTGCTCATGTAAAATCCAGAACATTGTATGAGAAGTCATAGAAAGAGTAACGAAGGTAGTAAAACAGTAATGAATAAGATCCAAAATAGCTGACACACTGAGCTCTGCATTACACTACTGAACAGGTAGATGTTAATTCTTTATCAGTCCTTTATCAAGTCTAAAAAATCATGAATCCCAGGCTGTCAGTCTCTCCAGGGTAATTGTTAATAAGCTCAGCAAAGATCTTATGGGCCTATTGAGATAGAGTTGCCTTGCTATTCAACACCCTAATAGTTAAAGCACCAAGTAGTGAATCAACTCTCATTCTCTCTTCTACATGAAAACAATCAAAGCCTAATTTTTCATCTAAAGGACTGTGTCCAGATACTTGTTTGTGACTTCTTTTGGAAACAAGCTACAGCTCTTCCTGCAAAACCCATCCCCTTATGTAAAAACAAACTCAAGATGCCCTGTATCAGAAGAGGGAACAAGAAGAAGCTAACTCTAGGTTGTTTCTCACTATAGAAGGGAGCCCTGGAATCAGTGTGCTCTGTTTTGGAGTGCTACACGTAAAACACATAAAAACCCATTGGTTGGGGAGACACAATGTCCTAACTTCTCCAAGAAATACTTCTGTGCTTTGTAATGAAAACTGACTCACAACTTTACCCTCATCCCATTGCATTTTATCATACAAAAGAGTCATGCTTCTCTCCAGTCCAGCTGATCTTGGATTCTCCTCTGCACAATGACAAGTCTTCACTAGAAAGAATGAAAAATGTTCCTCTTGTACTCCCCAGAGCAGTCTATGGCTTTGTGGTTAAAACATACTGAAAGGCGTATGACACATAGGCCTGAATCTAACCTCAGTCAACAGGGGACTTCGAAAACAAGTTGCTAATGTGGCCAAGGAGAGTGCTATAATCCTCTACAGTCATATTGCATGCCATTTAAAATGTGACCTTAGCCTTCATTGTCTTTTCTATGAAGATAAGGAACTTGGGCCTGTATGTGCACATTGGACATGGTCAGAGACCTGTCAGGCCAAACTCAGATTCTCATGTAAACAAGGCAAGGACCTTCCAGTCATGTCAGGACAAAGGCAGTGCTGAAGGCATGCTCAGGACTTAAGGCACATGAAGCTCTCAGAGGATGGGAAGTGAGGCAGATTCAGACTAGATAAAGGAAGGGACCTTTTTACAGTGAGAGTGGTGGAACACTTGAACAGGTTGCCCAGAGAGGTGGTAGTTGCCTCATCCCTGGCAATATTCAAGATCGGATTGGATGGGGCTCTGAGTAAACTGACCTGGTTGAAGATGTCCTTACCCATTGTAGGAAGGTTGGACTAGATGACCTTAAAAGGTCCTTTGCAAGCAAAACCATTTCATGATTCTATGCTTCTAAGTGCTAGAGGAGCTCATGTGCTGTCACATTTAGGGAGCAGTTGAATGAGGCTTTCTGGGGTCATCATCTTTTATCCACCTCTCTGAATTTCACCACCAGTCTACCTGAAACATAGGCAGTTTTTCTGCTTGTATTTTTCCTTGGCAACTGGCTCAAGACCATGTGGCAATATAACGTGAGAATTGTAGTAATTTTCTTAGTAGCCTTAATATGGAAAAAAAGTCCCATTGAAGCCCGTTTTCACAAAAATAAAGCTCAATAGGACTGACTTTCAGTCTCACATCTAAATATCCTGACTTCTGAATATACACAGAATGTTGTATTTGTATTCTAAGACAATTGTTATGCTATTTTCTCTATGTGGTTTTTCTCTTCTTAGTGGTATCATTAAAATAATTGGAGATTGTTTTCTATTGTTTATAAATGGACTGCTATTATCTATTCATTTATGACAAGGTGACAGTATTTACTTATCTAGTTTGCAGATAGGCACTACATAATCTGTTTCTTGTGTTTATTTGAAAAGGTGTTTCAGGTTGGAGGAAGGCTCCAAGTCTCCTATTTTCTAGGTCAGGGAGATGCAACAAGAAGAGAAAGGTTGTGCTGTCTCATGGAACAGCTGAGCACATGCAGTAGGCACAGGGATGTGGGGTAGGTAGAAAAGAAAGAGAATCCAGCAAGTGGGAGGGGTTTTATAAGAAGGTGAGACTGGGAAACTGCTGAGGAGATAGATATGTTGCTGGGCCTCACAGGGACACAGGGGAGACTGTATAGTCTGCTGAAACACAGGAAGTAGTTAATTCATTGAACTGAAAACATAAAAAGAGCCATCCTGTCAACATTTATAGGGGGCAAGTGCAGATGCGTTTATGAATCCTTATAATTTCTTTACCGCGAAGATGCATTTAGGAACCCTGATCATTCCTCTACTGTCTCCAAGACAATTAAAAACAATGAAAGAGTTAATTGTTCTGTTTTATAACCTGTTTTGTATCTGTCTTTGAGATCCTTTGCCTTTTTAATATCTTTACAAAACTCCGTTTAGGGAAAGTGCTGGAAGACCTACCTCAAACCTATGACTAACTTGATACATAATTATCAACTTGAAAACTTGCCCCGGAGCCATTCTTACAAGTAACCTTTTAGTTACACACATGGGGCAAGGTCTCTGCCTCCTCTACCGACCCCAGTCTATCCTAAAATCCCCCCAGAAGCCAGAAGCCCTGAGGCCAGCCAGAGCGGACATTGGCAGCGTGGCGATTGCCCTGGTGGCAGCCACAGCCTGCATGGCAAATGGTGCATCGGCAAACGTGCCCGGACAGGCAGTCCGTGGGCAGTCTGCAAACTGCCTGTGGTGCTGAGCCTGCCGTACTTGTGGTCATCCCGGGTACAGGCCTAGGGCTGCTTGTGTGTCATGCTCATGCTGACTTGGAAAGTAAAACAGCATTGGCAAAATTTGGTTGAAGGCACAGATCGTTCTTGGGACATCCCAGAATAACTGGGGATGCTGCAACTCGATGAAACATCCCTCAAATAGCAGCCTGACTTGCAGGGAAGTAAACGGCAGGATTTGTTGTGCAGGTGTCGGTATCCTGCTGCTTGTCCCGGTGTCCTCGTGTCCGGTACACGGCGGGGGCATCCCTGGGGTCAGCAGCACGAGCCTCCAGCTGGCGACAGGGTCACTGTCTCCAGCGGCCGCAGAGGCCCTCGGAGCTCGGAGTGTCTCTGCGCCCGCTGGGCCACCAGCGGTAACCGAGGAGGAGTCCCGAGGGCGATCAGGTCCCCTCGCAGGGGTGAGGCAGTGCTCGCTCCGCAACGCCGGCGGCCCGCCGGGGCCGAGGCCGCATCTCCCGCCGCCTCGCCCGGCGCCCAGTGCGGGACCCGCGGGGCCGGCCCGGACCGTGCCGGGCGATCACGGGGCCGCGGCGGGGCCGGGCGGGGGCGGCGCCCCGTCCTTGCCTGGGAGAGCGGCGGTGACGGCCGGCGCTGGCGGGCTGGTGCGCAGGCGGGGAAGCTGCGCGCCGCGGTCGGAAGGGAGGGGAGCGGAGGAAGGGAAGGGACGGGAAGGGGTGGCCGCGCCGGGCACAGCATGGCTGCCAAGGTAAGTCACCGCCGCCGGCGGGCGGGGAGGCGGCGGGCGGCGCGGGCGGTGGAGGGGAAGGGGCCGCGGCGGGGCGGCTGCCGGGCTTGACCTCGGGCCTGTCCTTGGTGAAACCCGGCGGTGGCGGCGCCACCTCCTCCTCGCGGCTCGGCGGCCCCGGGGGAGCCGGGGCTGGGCTACGGGCGGCCCCCCCAGCCGGCGGGGCTGGTGCCGGCGCGGCAGGGTCCGCACCTGCCCTCGCCGGGAGCAGCGGCCTGCGCTCTGCCTGCGCTGCACCATCGGCGGCAATGACACTGCGCGGCCGCTCTGCCCGTGCCGGTGCCCGTCCCGCCGTGCCCCTGCCGGTGCCAGTGCCGGCGCCGGCTGGAACCCACACTGCCCCGCCTCCGGGAACCCGCGCCCCGGCCCGGCCGCGGCTCCGCCGAGCGCTGTTGGGCCCGGCAGTGCCTCAGTGAGAGCCCCGCCGGGCGCATAGTTACACAATGTAGAGGCGCATAAATATACGCGCACACACATGTTACACACGCACACGTTTTTGGAGAGGATGCAGCGAGTCCTCGGGACAGTGGCTGGCGGGTCCGGGAGTGGGCACAGATGTTGGCCCTGTCCTGCTTGCAGGCCTTAGCACCGTAGTCCCTTTTTGCTTTTTCTCCCATTTTGGCCATATATACCCGTTTTTACCTTCTCTTTCCACATTTGGTTATAATTTTCAACCCTTTTCATTACTCAGTGCTCCCCTGTCAGGCTGATATCTGCTATTTAGGTTTTTTTTGCTGATCAGAAGGATAAATTAATTGAAATACTTTAATTAATTGCCTAGTAATACACTTTCATCCCAGAAAAAAAAATTAGCTATTATCTGGATCAAGGCCATATCTAATGGCAGATAAAATTATGTGTAGTGTTGGCGTTTCACAACTTAACTGCTTTTGTTAGGTTTCATTTTTGAATACTGAGACTTTAAAAAGAAATTACTCCATGTACTTCTTTTGTTGACATCTGTGATGAAACATACACTGAAGAAACATCAGAAAACAAAGCATCCTCAAACAACTCAATGCAGCACATGTGCCCAGTCTGGCTGGATTTGTATGCTCCTTTATTTCAGTGAGTCCATGACAGAGCTGTTCCTGTCAGCACCTTCCTCAGTATGAACTTAGGTTATGTGAACAGCATGCTGTTTTAATAAATTGAGCAGTATGTGATTCCTCATTGCTAGGATATATGAAACAATCATCCCCAGATCTTGCGCTTACTATTTGTAAATCTCAGCTGTCCTGTCTAGCTTTTTTTTTAATTTTTGATTGCCCACCGTTCCATACACACAGCATATCAGTTACATCTTACCAAACTATTGGTGTGTAAAGACTTTAAAGTCTTCCATTCACTGAATTTATAAACGTCTTGCTTACCTTTTCCTCTCCAAGCAGTAGTTCATAATTGGCAATCTATTTGAATCCATACTAGTCACATACACTTTAAAAATACTGTATATATAGTTAGTGTTTGTCTAATCAGGTAAACATGCATGGTCGGTTCTACACATTTGCATGGTGTCCTTTTTCTCTTAGTGAGGTTTATTGCGCAGTTCATATCTCCAAAATCTACACAAGGATGTGTTGGAAAGGCTCAACACTTAACAAGACACTGAATTGAATATTGCACATTTCAGGTGACATCAGGCTTGGCAGAGAGATACCCAATAAAAAGAATAATGGCTTAATCCTAGCATTATGAGCAACCTTGGTGCATTGCAAAACATAGATACAGCACTTTGTACCACAGGGTGTACAGCCCTCACATAGGGGCTGCACACCTAAAAAGGCTTCCATTTGCAAGCTTAGATGTGTTTTGAGTGACTTATGTTAAAAACAAAAAACTGGGAGCAGCTAGACTGGATCAATTATTATGTTACTTTGTGAGGCCTCAAGGCGCTTTTGTCTTCTTGAGTTGAAACAGTTGCTGTTAAACACAGGTGAATTTCTATTTTTATTGAGATCAGTAGCAAAATGTAAGTAGCATTTCTGCTCTAACAGTAACATCTGAGCTTAGGTTCTGCAAGCACACATATGAATAACTTTGCCACGGAAAGAGCTTCTGGGCCTGAAGTTACTCACATGTGCTTGCAGGCATGGGCCTTGATTTGTGTTCTAACTTCCTCACTGATGCATCTCAGTAATGTTTGCCTTTTTCACCTCAGCCAAACAATGGACTGGTGAGTCAAATGCTTTTTCTAAAATTTCTTCAGTACCTTTTCCTTGCCAGTATCCTGCATGACTGCTTCCTTTAATTTTTTAATTATACCCTTTTGGCCATATGAGTATTTGGGATTGAATGTAATTGGTCTTCACTTGCAAGATTTCAAATGTTGACATTTTAAGCAGACTCTAGGAATTCAATCTGTCAAAAGGAAAACACAAACGGGATACTGTTAAGGCTGCGTAGTTAAGCACTCAGTTATCAAGAAATGGGCATTACAGTCCCATTTAATTTTCTTTTTTGTATATTACTCAATGTTTTGCAACTTATACAATGTTTCAAACAATGTATGTTGCACATCAGTGTCTTTTCTTAAACTTTGAAAAAATTTTCTGAAAATGTTTTTGGAAAACTCGGCTGTAAATTGTATTCACACAAATTACCAGTGAAAACCACAGGTGAGCTTTTCCAGTTGATTTTTACCCCACTGGTAACTAAATTACCATCCTAGGTGCTGGCTTCTATTTCTGCATTGTGCAAAAAATAGGCTATGTGGAACATCTTCATGACAACGCATGTACAAAGCACTAATGTTTTATATACTGTGTCATGCTTATTTCTTCATTTTGAGTGTTTAACAATGCAATCACAATGTTGTTTTTCTGCCCTTTAGCCAGATAGTTCTAAAGAGAAGTTACACAGTCTAGCTAATGCCCCTTGCCATTCACCTGGTGTGTATTTTTCAGCAAAATTAAATGTTTGTGTTGAGTGACTGTCAGTTACCCTTGATCCCTATACTGCTACACAGTTCTGGACATAGCTGTTGTCTCATGCATGTGCAAATTGTGACTTGCTTTCTTTTTAAAGTCCTACTGCTTGGTAAAATATAAACATATTTTCAGTGGGAAGTTCTGACATACTTCTCTGTGAGACTTCTTTCTTCTTGCCTGTGCTATTGTGCTACTTTGTTCAACTTAAGGTCAGAAGCTTATTTTTACAATGGGAGCTAGTATATATAATATTTTTAAACTGTATTTCATAACCACTAAGCTGCATTCAAAACAGTTAAAAATTGCATTAATGAAAATTCCAAACTCAGATAATTTTGTGAGATAAATCAAAGCCTAGAAAACTGTAAAAACAGTGGGCCTAGCATGGAAGCACTTGAACACCATTAAACTTCATCTATGCTATGAATAGCATGTGAGTAAACTTCAGTACTTGTACTGAACTGCATAGTAATGATACAAGAGTTAATTTTTAAATACTGTGGAGTATCCCTCTACTTGTGATGTAATTGGTTTTTTCGTGTGCATGTGGGAACTTTTACCCACTGGACATATACTGGTTGCCTGTATTACCCAGATTTAAAATTGTTGTCTTATGTACAAAGTGAACATAAATATTGCATGCTAAAAAAGCTTGTAAAATGGCTGTTCAAGTGAAGGCATGAACCTTATATCAGTACCTGGTGAGACTATTTGCATGCTTAATTTTATGTGCATGCAGAAGTCTTTCGAAGAACAAGTGCCTGACTGTCTGAAATATATACATAATGTAATACAAAGAGATTTGTTACTGACTTATGTGACAATATTTGGGATAGTTCTAATGCAAGGTAAAGAAAATTTATTTTGCAGTTTTCATGTATTTAACAGGTTTTTTTAATTTTCTTTCCTCTTGTGTTTTTCTGGAACTGTTTACTATGGAAGCTGTATCAGTGGAGTTACATGTTCTTTCTGGTTACTGCCATATTTACCTCTAAAATCCTAAACCGAGCCATGTCAAAAACAGTTAATCCCAATCACAGGCTCCTTGTATGCCTTGGTGTTACTATAGTCAGACATTTCCCGCTGAACACCCCAGTCCTGCAATATGCATCACCTTGGCTGAATTAATTGGAGTTGCCTCAGGCCCTGACTGTACAAGCCTTTTTATTTGCAGAAATGATCCAGTGCTTGCACTCGGTGATGTGAGTTAGTGAGGTTTGGATAAGCGATGGTTGAAATGCAGACATCATGGCAATGCAAGTCTAAGTGAACATAATTCCAAACAGCGCCGAAACTATCGGATGCTGGTGCAACCATACTGTTTTGGTTATTTTGCTATCATGCACACCCAGCATGTCCCTTCATGCATCATGCAGCTCCATGGAGCCTGTTCCTTCAGCTCCTTCTCCCATGCTTCTCTCCCCTGTGCTAGCAGTAGGGTGGGATGTGCCTGGGAACAGACTGGATTCGCTCTTCTTGCCCTCAGTGATGCCATTCTTCCCTTCCTCCATCAAAATGGAAGAGAAGAATTGCATTGCATTGCATATGAATTTGTTGGGCCCTCAGAAAGGAAGAGGTGAGGGATTCTAGCATGATGGGCTACTGTGTCCATGAAAGGAATGGAGTCCCTTGTGGACAGGCTCCAGCCACTCTTTGAGAAACGTGGTTGGTGAGTAAGGAGAAGTCAATCTCTGTTTACCTGAAGCACAACTGAGTTTGTGTACGTAATAGTACATGACTTAATACCATCATAGCACTTAGTGGTACTTTGGTAATTTTTTTGGATGTGATAGCTCTAAGTAATATCCACATAGACAGTCCTGTTGCTAGTCTGTACAGGTCCAGTGGTGCTTGCTGATGTGTAGTTATATTTTGGAATTGTGCAGAAGTATGTAAATTCTTAAACACTGTATGTATCATGAGACTCTTCTTTCCACTTTCCCCCTCAGAAAAAACATGTATTTTTGCTGCTTATGACTTATTACTGCATCTTGATACCTTAAGAGAGCAGCATTTGCCTGATAGAGGAAC